CCCCCTTCCCACCGCCGGTCCGGGTCCAACTGGGGGGAGGGGCCCCCCCCAGCCGGGCCCGGGGAAGGGGGCCCCTTTTCCCCGGGGCGTCCCCCGGTTCCCCGGAACCCGGAAGGTTTCCTTTCCTTTTCCCGAAGGAACCGGGCCCCCCCGGTCCTCCGCGGCCCGGCTCCTCTCGCCCCCGGACGCCGCCCCTCCGCCGCGGGATGTGAGGAGGCTGCTTGGCCCCCGGGATCCTCGCGGCGACTTTGCGTAGGTTTGCTGGTGTCCAGGCCTCTGGGGTTGGGAGAAATGTACACCAACGACGTAGGTGGATTCGTGAATCCCGACTTCAGCCCTGGCTCTGTAGGATTTTTTTTTTTTAAATTCTCCAAGATGGCGAACTGCCATTGATTTCTCTCCTCCTCCTATGGAGAGTCATCGATTTACCGTTATTCCCAATTATGCAACACAGCCCTAAAAAAGGGGATGCCTTTACGGGGTTTTCAGTAATCTGCCAACACCAAGGGGACACGTCAGTTCTCCAAGTCTCTTTCGTGATGGTAGTGAGGAACTAACGCAGATTTATGCTTCACAGTGCCTGATTTTGTGACTTGATGGTTTTGACTTGGTTGACTCATGTGTAGGGAATAATTGTCACTAAGCCTCCAATGCTGCTTTATTGTTTCGCCTCTTTCTGCACAAGGTTCTTTCCAAAATTGTGACGATCGTGTCAGTGAGACCATTCCCTTAGTTTCTTGGCCTCACGCTCCCTTCCCAAAAAACGCTAAAATTCATGCCCCCTGTTAAGGGTACTAATTATTCTCGTACTAGTTAACATGGTTTCAGACTTAACTGTGTAGAACTCAGTCCTTGATGCTAGTACTTGAAGTTCTCCTATTGCAGTGGACTACAATTCTTACAGAGAATTGGCATCTGGTGATCAACTTTTTTTTCTGCAGTCTTTTTGATTTTTTGTGTGAGTTCCCGCTGTCTGGCTGGGAAGATTGCGGGAGTGTGCTTGGAAATGGCTGGGGCCTGCTATGACTCTGCAGTTCTGATGGGGGCGACGCCTTCCTTCTTATTCATGGAATGTTAGCAGGCACGTTTTCTCCTTTCCTCCTTTCCGATTCTGGTGGCTACCTCAGTTTCTTTCAAATCCCTCTCCGTTTTCTGTAGGGTTTTTTATTTTGTTTTGTTTTTACCATTGCTTACTGCTGTGCTACCGGCAGAATCTTCTTTGCATTTGCCGGAATAAAAACTGATTACTGAGGTGGGAGGGGAAAGGAAGTTAGAGTAGTAGCTAGAAAAATAGGAGGGAAATACGAATTTGGGAATGCGCTGAGCTCTAGAGTTTGAAGTTCGTACTTGTGGGGAGATGTCAAGCTATTTGAAGCAGAGTAGAAGTGAACAGACCTGCTATAAGCATGGACTTTAGGTTTTATTTCAGGAAACTTTCAAGCAACTTTAAATTTGATGCAACATGACTGACTGTAATGATAGGCTATTGCTGAAAGTTTATAGGGTGAATTGAGATTCTTTTCATAGAGTGGTCTTTAGTTAGCAGACTACACTGTGAACTGTGAAATCTAATATGAAACATGTAATCATATGGGGTTAAGCTATTCTTTAGAAAAGACTAAAACTTGATTTTATGTTAGTGAAATGTGGATGCCTTGTACTGGTAGTAAAAACTTGGCACACAGTCTTTCCTGTTATATTGAGGCCTGAAAAGAATTAACTAATTTCATGTGTGTTTTTTCTTTTTCTTTTTTTTTTTTTTTCTTTTTTGGGCACGGGGGGGACAGCCAGTAGAAATAGATATGATTGTAGGAAAAGATCGGGAAGGTTTCTTTACCAACGGTTTGACTCTTGGCGCAAAGAAGTGCTCAGTGATCAGAGACAGTCTGTATGTGGATGGTGACTGCACAATGGACATCAGGACAAAGAGTCAAGGTGGGGAGCCAACATACAACGTTGCAGTGGGCAGAGCTGGCAGAGGTAAGCAAGGCACTCTTTTGTTAAAAGTTGCATGTTACATTACAACTTATTAAGCAGTTTCTTTAACATTTTGAATAAAAGTGTTAGTCCATAATGGCTATTAAGGTGGTTTTTGTGAACTGCCCAGCACTGAAGGGAGGCACTGCTTTAAATTTACTTACTCTACAGCAGCTGCACGTACAGCCTAGCCTCTGAGATCTTGACTTTATTCTAAAATAGAATATTCATACCAACTCTCCAGTTTCAGCTTTAGTAAACTGAAAATCCAAATTTGTCTCAAACTGCTTGACATGTTCAATGATAATCTTATGGTGTAATCAGATTGTTAAATCACTCTGATTGTTTGGTTACTTTCTTCCCTTTGAGTCTTTGACCTTTGGATCTCTTCCTTTTCTTTCTTGCTTACATTTCAATCATTCATTGCTCAGCATAAAAATGGAAAAATTAACATTGATTCATATTTCTATTAAAAACATGGCAGGGAAGAAAGAAATAATTAGAATAAGGGTTTTGGAGTAAGTTGTCCCATTACTAAAATATTTTCAAAGACTAAATGTGATTGTGATTTAGATAGGAAAAGTAGAAAATTATATTTCATTTATATATTTGACCCAGAAATTCTGGTGTTTCCTGACTGTTGTCAACATTGGAGAAAATAAGTCTCACTGCTTTTTCAAAACTTTCAAAATTGGGGTTTATTATGGCATCTGATTGATTTACAGCTATATTTAAATGTATTAACCTGTGTAAATATTTTGTAAATAAAGAGGGTTTGTGAGTCTCATACAGCAGACTTGGCACGTCTAAGTAAGACCAAATCTACCATGTGAAGGAACTTGAAACTCCCCTGAGCTGTAATTTACTAAAATGGTCCTACCAACTCCCTGTGATCATCCTAAAGGTTACTCTTATTCTGATGTGAGTTGATGCTTATGACTATTGCTCCATAGAAAAATTAGGTGGTCCTAGCCAGTTTGACTCAGTGGATAGAGTGTCAGCCTGCGGACTGAAGGGTCCCGTGTTCAGTTCTGGTCAAGGGCACATGCCCAGGTTGCGGGCTCAATCCCTAGTAGAGGGTGTGCAGGAGGCACCCGATCAGTGATTCTCTCTCATCATTTATGTTTCTGTCTCTCTCTCCCTCTCCCTTCCTCTCTGAAATCAATCAATAAAAATATATAAAAATAAAGAAATAAAAATTAGGTGACTGAAGTAATAGACTTTTTTTTTTTTCCAATATTAGCTGGGCTCAGATAACTTAAAAAGCATCAACCATGTGACATAAAACAGGAATGAGATTTTCATACCATATAGTACTGCTGACATCTAGTGGCTGTGATTGTAAAATCTGAACCTCATCATAGAAGAATCTGTTGTTGGAAATAGTAAATCTATTTCAAGATTTTAGACTCAATTAAAAACAAAGCTAGAACAGTGAGGAGGATATCAGTAAGCATACACCTTAGAAACCTTAATTTCATCTTTTCTGAATAGCACTGGAAATGCTATTTAAAATTTGGTCTTGGTTTTGCTCTAGGGGTAATAGACACATTTAACCTCACTGGTAAGACTTAATAGTTTGTACTTAATCAAGCTTGTTAAATTGGGAGAATTTTGTAAAATAATCACCTAAATTTTTTTTAAGTTTTTTTGGGAGGGCCAGTCTAATATGTATTTGTCATACTAACCAGCAGTGTTTTGCCCTAGAATAGAAGATAAATGATCACACTCCTTTTTCCCTAGCTAGTGTGAAGATATTTTTATAGAGCGCTGCAGCTGCATTGATTGGACTTCCAAGAAGCAGTTAATAGTTTTTAGTATATAACTAGTTTGAAAGTTCTCCTTTTTGGAGATCTAGTTGACTTCAGTGCTTGACAGTTCATGGAAAACTAACTTAATATTAACTTATTAATTAGGGTTCTGTCTGCTAAAACTTATGTGACTTTCTTGATTAACCCTTCTTTTGAAACCCTTTTCTTCTTTCTCTTTCAGTCTTGGTCTTTGTAATGGGAAAAGAAGGGGTCCATGGAGGCGGCTTGAATAAGAAGGCATACTCAATGGCAAAGTACTTGAGAGACTCTGGGTTCTAGCTGCTAGGCAGATGTTCAGCATTAGGGGAATTGCTCGTAAACTTTCCTAGCATAAGCTCGAGTCTTAATTCCGGAAACTTTATTAGCAATGCAGGTGATGGGGTATGAACCTTGGTCTCCTTTGTATCCCTCTGTTAGTGGGGAAAGGTATCTTTCTTTCTGCCCTCCCCCCTTAAATAATTCTGTTCACTTTGTTTTGTTTCCTTGTGTACTCCAGCATTGGTTATAGTCATGGGAAAGGAAGGTGTCCACGGAGGCACACTTAACAAGAAAGCATATGAACTCGCTTTATACCTGAGAAGGTCTGATGTGTAAGCAGCCTCTCCCCATCTACCTAGCAACTGTCTTCATCACCACCCCAATTATGGTTACAGTGCTGCCAGACTATGTGGTAGCTAATTTTTCTTTACCTATTTTCTAATGTCATGATTCCTATTTGCCCAATGGATTATTTGTATGTTAACCACTGTATGTAATCAACCCTTATCTGGCAACATAATTGCAGCACAACAATGATTTGCATGATACCTTGAAATTTGGGGGGAGGGGGCATGCCAAGTTGGGCATCACTTTGTTTTAGCAATTAATGGGATATTGATTACTAAAATAAGTTAATAAGCAAGGTGCCGGTGTACAATCTCTAATTTGATCAATGTCTTTTCAGCACTTTGAGCATTTACTTAGCTCATTTAGTCTTCCTTTTGTAGCGCATGGTTGGGAGGGAAAAGTGCATGCATCTTTCCTTCACTTGTCTTTTCTCACCCCCTCCCTTCGCACATAAGTTGTTTGGTTTGCTTCCACCTTATTTTATGCAGTGCCTGGTTTATTTAACCAATTAATAATCCTGTTTGTTGAACTATTGAGAGCTGCAGTAGTTTGCTTTCAGTATTGTTGTTGCACTGGAGTAGACAAACCTTTTTTCATAGTGTCTACAGGACATACTAAGAGTGCAACTGCAAAACAAGAGCAAAAGGCACTTCCTCCCATGACCTCACAATAAACATACTGGTTGAATCCCCAGGGACATTCATCATTGCAGTAGCTCAGATTTTTGTTCCTATCTTTTTCTTTGCACACCAGCTCTACCTACTCTTTAGTAAAATTGTAAAAGGCTGCCATTATGGACATTAGGTGTCCCAGCATAACCATCTGGAGTGTGTCCAGTTTGTTCTTCATAGGACCAATTTTTATTTGCAGCTTAAGTTTTTATATGAAGTTGCATTATTGTGGCTGTCTTGTGATGAATTTTTTTTCAAATGTATTCTGTGCCATACTATTGTTAAAATGAACTGTTGCTATTGTGAGATGGATTTTAACTGACCTGTAAAAGGTTTCTTTTGAATGGCACTACTTTAGGGACATTCTAGTATTTGCTTCTATTGTTTGGGCCTTGTGGATAATGTACAGATTTAAAAACAAATCTTGTTGCTGATTTGTCCATTTCTTTCCCTGCACTTTGTTACATCTGGGATACAGTCTAACTCATCTGATTTAATATGCATTTTAAAAAATGCCATAACTATTAAACACCTTGTTTACAGACAGATGAAATAAATTTATTCCAACCAAATACTCTAGACTCATGTTGTTTATATAAATTGTTGGCTTACTGTTACAGTTGATTTTTGACACAATGCTAATATACAGGATAGGCCAAAAGATGCTGTAAGCATATAATCGTTTTGAAAGATTCGGTTGATGGCCTATTCCACTTCCTGTAGTATTTATTATAAATAAAATGAGTGCTGGGAATTTATTTTTAATGGTCTTTGACCTTTTAAAATGGTTTTTAGTTATCTCAGGCTCATCTTCAGGCTTATGAGAAAAAAATTAACGTATCCACTAGAAATTAATACTTTTCTTTTGTTGATGGTCTCTACATGGGAAATCTAGTGAGCAGTAAGGCCCCAGTACCAACAAGGGTTTCTGCATTGTGGATTCTTCTGTGTTGAGCTGTTGTATGACTTCTTTAGGTTTGGAGGCTGTGTCGGCAGACTGCAGTGAGCCCATTGGAACTCTCACATAAGAGAAGACATTCCTTAGGCAGCATATAAGATGGTTGGGATGTTCTTGCCATTTCTGGCTTTGGAGTGACATGTTCACAATAGCTATAAGTCAAGTTTAATCCCAGAGGTCAGAAGGTCCCTGAGATATATTGCAGCTTAGTAACTATGTTAGTTTAATACTATTTAGGTAAATCATCACCATGAACTATCAAGCTCTAAGCAGGGATGCTCAAAAGTTGGTGAGTCTGAGTGGAATTGGGAGCTGCTTATAATGCAGATTTGGGGCTCTAGAGTTCTACTCTGGAGATGTAGGTTATGCATAGCCCAAGATCATCATTTAGAAACAATTGCCAGGTCAGTCTGAATCACTTTAAGTAGCCTGTGTGCTACCCTTTGAGAAACAGTGGTTTAGGGAAGGAGAATTAATCTCTTTGCCTTACTTGAATATACTGTGCATAACTTAAGTTTTTTCTTTGAAGTGTTGTCAAGCAAGAGTTCTGAATTTGATTGTACACTCAGGGATGTACAAGTTTAGAAGATAGGGATTTGGGCCTACTTTGGTAGTTGAGTGGGCATACCTTAGAAATTGTAAAACAAAAACCTCAACTTCCTGACCCATTAAGATCTCTGTTAGGAACAAAAGGTGGGTCAAATGAAAATTTTGTGGTTGGGTTGCAGTGATTTGATATTTTATGGTAATATACATTCACACTTGAGTTGTAAAGAATTGTTGGGGTAATTAGAAAGCCGCACCAGAATTGTGAAACCCTTAATGAATGAACCTGTAAGTTAGGTGAGGGGATGTGTGTTGGGGGTGTTTATAGGTGAGTAGAAGACAGTAGTGGGCATCTGTATCATTAAAAAAGTAAATAATGAAACTAAACATTGGCCCCCTACACACAATTTCATTAGAAAAACACTTCTGAAAACATGTGCATGTATCTTTGCTTTGTACTTAGTTCTAGGAATTTAACTTAAGGAAATGGAGCTATACAAATTCATATGCCAGAATATCCATCACATAGCATTACTTATAGTGCTAAACTTGGGAAGCTACAAAATTTAACTTTCAGGGTTATGGGCTATATAAATGACTGTCCAGAGGATAAACCAGTCATCGAAGAATGACACAAGAAAATGCTCACCAATGAATGTTAAGTAATAATTTGGATATAAACAGATGTTACATACAGTATAAGTATGTACAGTATATAATATAGATTTATTTTACATATGTATTTCTGAATATCAAAATAAATTTATCTCTAGGGTATGTTTCCAGGTGACTGTCCTTGTATAATCAGAAAAATTTTTAATTAAGGTATTAAACAAATTGGATTTTTATTTAGTGTCCTATTTAAAAAATTGTGTATACTGTGAAGACATAAAAAATTTAAATTGAATATTAAAACTAGTAATTTAATTAAGACTTAATAGATTTTACAACTTAAAGTAAGTTTGGAGTATTTAAAAAAAGTAATTTTTACCTTAGAAAATCTCCTAACTTAAATTTAAAGGAACCAAGTCCTTTGATCTGAAGTGTAGATTAAGAACTGAGGGAATACAGTATCTAATACACATTACAGTGACTTAACTTTTCCCATTTAAAAAAATGTTGTTATTTAATAACTATAAAAGCTATTACTTATTGTGTGTTTATGTGCCAAACACTGAGTTCAATATTTTATCCTCACGCCCTACCTTAGGTTAAATGAAATTATTCAAATGACCAAATTCCAAAGCTCTGCTATCCTAGTAAACTAATGTTCTATTTCTCATGCCTGTGTTTTATTATTTAAAAGGAGGGGGAGGGGAATGAGGTGGTATCAGCTTGACAATTCAAGTTTTTCTTTTCATAAGCAGAAATTTTTTTTGTTAATTATAAGAATTTTTCTAAAAAGCAATTCAGAAAATGAAATTCCCCCAATAGTGTTACATTTCTTTAAAAATGTATAATTTTTCTCTTTTTACAACAAAGGCTCATGTACATAGTATAGTTATTCTTTTCTAATGTGCTTTTGTTCACTAACATTTTCCCATGTCCATGCAGATGTATCAAGATAATTTATCCTTTTGAAGCTGTGTAGCAGTGTACTGTAAGGTTATACCATACTTACAACAGGGTACCAAAATGTCCAGTTGTTGGAATGATTTTGACGGCCGTTTAAACTTTTTGGGGAATTACCCAACTGCTTTAGTTAGTTACCTTGTATAAAATTCTAAGGTGTGTTTATCTGACCTAAATTACCATAATCATTATACCTTTATACCTTTATAGCACTGTATATAAAAATAAGGCTAATGTAGGTAATATTTCAGTACAACAAATAAAGTTCTTAAAGTGGAAAACGTGTTTATTAACATTCAAACTCCCTTCATACAAGGCTATATAAAAATTCGTAGCATTTTGATTATATATGTCTATATTTTCTACATAGTTACAGTGATGTATAGTATAATTTAGCTTTTCATAAATTGTTTACATTCATTATTCTGTTAAACATAAGCAATTATTTTCAAATCCAATACTTGAACAATTTCCTCTATACATAGTTTAGCAAGGCTAATCAGCATAGATGCTCTTTATTGAGAGGTATATGATCTGCATGTTAACAGTTGCTGAAGTTTGGTATTTTTGTACAGCATTTCCTTTTTGCTTCGATCACAACATAAAACCCTTAAGGATATGAAATTCAGTAAGTTAAGTCCAGTGACATATTACTTTAGCTGATGAATCCAATTCATATGTAACACTATAGTATTTAAGAACCTTAAAACTTGAAATCTGCGCCAGTATAGACTGTTCCTTTCAGGATAAGACTACTTGGGAATAGAAAGGAAAAAGACAGCTTTGAGTTTTGGTGCCAATGGGAGGAAAAATGCTAAATTGCCTCGTTGCCTCTCCCTCATGATGGCAATTTGGGGTAATACCAGAACAAACATTCCAATTCAACAACTCTAGGTAGCTTTATGGAGATGGGAGCTGGCTTAACTAATACTAGGTGGCCACAGCACTGACTTGTGTGCAAAGCACAAAATTTGCATACTGTGATCTAGATCTTAATTGCAAGCTGTACTGAATTTTTTTTTTTTTTTATGTTTTGGCTATATTTCATTCCAAAATAAGAGTTGATTTGATGCTTGAGTTACAGTACCAGTCTATTGTTACTTGTTAGTAAAATGAAGTACACTCCTGCAGATAAAT